CGGGTAGGATAATATCACCAAGACCGATCCGAGTAGTGGTACCAAGAACGAGATTGATATTTCGTTTCTTTCGGACGGGATCGTTGTGGTCGATTCCTGGATGCCCGCGATGAGGAAACCGATCGAGCGCGAGCAAAACAAAAAACAAGAAAAGACTTGGATGTTCGTGAACCATTCCAGGAAACGATCGAACGGTAAAGAATAAGGGATGCTCGATTGCGATTCGATTCTTCAAAATATCGATTCTTCCGGTTAAGGAAAAAAAATCGATCTTTTGAATTGATTTGCTGCTGTTCGAGTTTTCTGAAAATCGATTCCATTCTTCAATTTTTTTTTCACGTATCAATTGATTTGCTGCTGTTCGAGTTTTCTGAAAATCGATTCCATTCTTCAATTTTTTTTTCACGTTACTAAGGTTTTGATTGGTCCTTCTGTTGGGGGATTAGTTTGTCCCCAACGGAAAGACCAATTACAATAGCTTCACCCCCTTAGCTTTTAGAGTTTTAGACTGTATCTGATGTATAAGTTCTTCCTAATACAGTAGAGTCACGTTAAAGGAGCGGTGCGGGGTTCTCGAGGCGGATTTTTCATGGAAACGTTACTTTAACGTGATCCAATGGACACCACGATCCACCAATTGGATCAGAACTTTGGTTACAGATGGCAATCGATAGTCAGGTGCACGCACGTTGAGTAATGCGTGTGAGCTTGGACATTCCTACCGCTACTTTAACGTGAGTCTACTGTAACTACGTAGAAACATGTTCCTAAGAACCGACCAAATAATTATTTATAGTAAATAAAACCTTATTCGTAATTTACCATCACCTCTTAACTGTACGAATTCATTGCTCAGACGTTAAACGCTTGAAAAGTCGGAAATCAATCAGAAAGAACGTGGATTTATTCCTTTTACCCCCTCTCTGGGAATTATATCTTGGTCCCATCGAACGATATCAGAATCGCCTATCCTCGTGTTTATCCTCGTGGTGTCCCAGAAACCGTTGGCGATTACCAATTGGAAAGCCCTAATTACGCTGAACCCCGATGGAAGGAAAAAGTAGCAGAGCGCGAGCTTGTTTCCAGGATCGAAACGATCCATTGTCTCTACGGGAATAAATTAAACGGAAACCCAATAACCTGTCACATTCCGATGCCCGCGGCGGATCTGGAGAATACAGGGTCCGAAGAACGCGACCAATTACAGCCAGAAGAAAAGCAAACTGTTTCCGGCGTGCACCATTGGATAATCGCGTGGCATTCGCTGAACAGACCGCGAGGAACACGCGCGGTCGATACCGTTTCGTAACTTACCGTGAAATTCTGTAAGGGGTGTCACCTGTATAGTGCCAGCGATATACAGTGAATCATGACCCAAATAGCACAAAAACGTCATATGTAGGGGAAAGGTGTCTAAAACGATCCCCTTTAAGGTGTAATTTATATAAAAAATACAAATGCTCAATATTTAAATAAAAGTAAAGTAGTTTTTGTAAGTTAGTCTATCTATCTTATCATTGGCTTATTTAATTTAGCTACGTGATCAATTATATTTTTTATTAACCAATATTTTGTACGTGAAAATAACTCCAAAATTTATTTAAAGTAATATTAGGAAATTTACCTCGAGATCAATTTTGTCCAAACCCCCCACCCTCTCTACTCTCCCCCTGGCTACGCCCTTGCACACCGATATCGTTGACGTCTAATAGAATTCAGTGCGTCCTTTTCAGTTCGTGGTGGTGCCTTTCGGTATGTATAACCGCGGGGAATTACTTGCGCGTAATATACTGGCGAAACAAAGCCCGTTAACGTCACGAAACGGTAAGCCGCGTTGGTATATTTTCTTTAGTGTCCCCGTAACTTATATGTACTGTCCACGGACGGACATTGTAAGCGGGCCCGGATAGGTAATTGAGTGCTCGCGGTGGACGTACGGCTAATATGGCCTGTGCTGTTTTGTTTTCTACGGGCGCGCTCTGTAAAGCGCGTTAAATAAATCTGTTCGTACCCGGAGCGATACGTGAAAACGCCCGGGCTGATTTACGCACCGGATCAGCGCACGGGAATGTATGTATACTGGGTGTCCCGGTGAAACGGAGCAGGAGTACGAGATACCAAGCATTGCGGGCTTGACACCAGCTTGCGAACACGTAACCTCACGAGCAAACTCGGCTTCCGTTAAGGAAAAAATCGGCGTAGGGCCTAGAGCCTCCTATCACTTCGTATATTTATTTCAAATACTGAAATAAACATTAAATCGCATTATGCAAACTGGTACAAAACAAAAAATCAATATTATACAATATTCACGTGTGTGCAACACGGTTAAAAGAAATCTATTTGAAACGTGTTTCTGCCGTGCATAGATGTTCGGATAATGGAAAGCTGGATTAAGAGACGTTCGGGTACACGGTGTTCCGATAATCGAGGTTCTAGATACTTACTGCTCGCTTCAGTTTACTGGTGTATTTTTGCTGAAAAGAAAGTGGAAATGGTGCAACAACTGTTTGCAGATATTGTACAGACGTACAGACTCCTCTCGATTATTGTCCCGAACTTGGGTCCGCGCCGGGACAATAATCTTATAGGGGGGAATACTTCAGACCCGTGTAAATTCATTTTTTGCCCGAAGCCTGAGCCTCGGCAATAAAAGCGGCGGAGCAACAAAGTATGCACTTGACAGATTCCACGGCCTCCCCTCCCCATTCTCCCCCTCAGTGGTGGGGATAACGCCTGGACAATAATCATGTAGAACAAGCTAGACAATAATGAAGAGGAGTCTGTAATATGAATATGGTGCAATACATAGTCAGTAACCATTCGAGGTTATAAATCCCTTTGCAAAAGGACAGATTGTTGGTATGTCTCATACATGTATATTACGGTAATCATTAAGGTGTTAATTTTCATAGGATCGGTAGTAATCTTCATTTACCTGTCACTGGTAAACTTTGTACAAATTTGCAACGTTCTTTGTCCCTGAAACATATTCGTACCGAAAAATCGCACGATCATAATTTCTGTTGCAACTGGGCATGGTCGCTGCATTCCATTAGCATAATCTTCATAAATCTGCCATGAAGCTTTTATCACGCGTGTAAGTACGCTCATTTTCTTTGTTTTATTTTTCACCGTCGCGGGTATCGCGTTCAACTAAAGAGAGGCAAATTTCGAAAGAAATATTTATGCATCAAAAATGACCGTCATCTATGCTCTATTACTTACGGTGTTACATGCACGCTGGACAATTTCGAAAGCGAAATCGATGTTCTCGTTTTCTGCCGTTTAAGTATTAAAATGTGGAAGCCTCGAAAGCAGGTTCGTATAGTATGTATAATGTTACGTTGCAACCTATATGTATAAGTTAACGTAATTTTATGCAGCAACCGACATTTTTCCGATCGACGAAACAAGATCTTTAACACTAGAACTACCAAGCAAGTAAAAATGACTTGTCACTACACTCTTACAACAACGATTAAAATGTTTTGACAATACATTTCCTCAGATCTTTCTTCCTCTAATCTTTCTATCTCTAAATTTTCAAAAGTTTTTCACGTTTATCCATCGATCGAAGCATATATACGTTTATCGTCGGTGGTTCTAGTGTTATTGATCTATGATATCGAAAGTTCCCAGTTTATTTCATCTAAAAAGATTATTGGTACTTAATAGTTGTAGACAAGATTATATTCGAATGAAATGGAATAAATTTTATTTTCATAAATGTACCGATGTTAGCCGTTTAATTTTTAAAAAAACAAACTAAGGAAAAATCGGTACAAAAAGCTACAAGTATGTATTTTTGTTCCATTATGGATACCCTTACATTCCAGAAAACGTACCCTCGCAATTTACAACCACTTTGACTTGATAATTTAATGGGAAGCATGCGTTGCCGAACGATGATTATTTCTTCACATTATAAGGGATCAATTTAGTCGACTATATTGTTACTGACGTTATTCAGCTACTCGTTCCATCATCCATTATTCATAGAGCGGCCTGACGGGCACGATACATTCATCAAACTTTTCATCGGAAGAAAAATTCCGCGTCCCGTAATATTTTTCACGCAGACAATTCTGTGGCTATGGAATTTCTATAACGCAATCAAAGTATCATTTAAAGTGAACAACTATGTCCACTGTAAAATACTTATATCAATTTAATCGTTGAATTCGAGAAAGTACCTTTACACGTCTACCGTACACGACAGAATGGCCCCTTAATTAACCACGTGTAAGCAACCGAATGAAAAATCCAACAATGAACTGTAAATGTCACTCCCCTTCTCCCCCCGTTATAAATTCCGTGGACACATTAGTAACAAGCACCGATGAATATCATTATTCTGTCAGTAATTGAAAAGTGAAATTTGCATTCAATTGTAGAAAGTATGTACTATTTCTGCAGGCCTAATGCTTCTGAGCGAGGAGCACTCCATTAACCGTCTTACGTTAGGATTTGTTGAACGACTGCATTACAGTTTGCGTTCATGTGACGTTAAATAATTCGCTCGAAATATAATAATTATAAATTCCGACTTTTATTTCTTTCACACGAGGGACGAAGAATGTTATGGGAGATACATCGATCAAAAACAGGTCCAGATTAAAATTTTTGGGTCCTGGGGCTATCAAAACTTTCGGTGGCTCCTTTTATTCAAAAGCGCACGAGGGCGGGGGGCCAAAAAATTATTGTAATAAAACATACAGCAACGTACAGAAGGCTTCAAAACTTGAAATTTATTTTAAGTAAAATTAAATAACATTTAATCGTAACGAATGCTTGATTCTAACAAACAATACTCCGTTATATTTTAATAACTGTGGTCCGATTTATTTCTACATTTAGTGCGATTTCAGAATGGAAATAATAAACAAAATTTCATTTAATTATTTCTGCGAAGTGGTCGAAGTTTTCTCAAATCGCAGAAATAATCGCTTGTCTGTGGAACTTTTTTGAGAATAACTTGTTCCTTCGAATGATTTCAGGGTGGTTTTCTGTGATATCTGGCAGCAATGCTACGAGTGGCGCGCGAGTCTACAGAAGAGTAGATTCCCTGGTGCGAGCAGGAGTACCCGCGTTCCTTTTGGCGGCGCCGTTAAGGGCATACATTTTAACGCACTCGAAAATGGGTGAGTGTGTGAACTGGTTTATTATTAGACAGAAAGACACATTTTTTTTCTTTTTTTTTTCTCTGAAATTCTTCGTCACCGATGAATATGTATAAACAGCAAGCGGACTTGCTTGAAAAGGGTACCGAACGAAATGAAGACTGAAATATGATAATATGTATAAGGTAATCACGAGAAGAAAAACAGAACGATGATTGCAAAAGCGTGAACGGTTGATGGCGGAGGTAAGCGAACGAAAAAAAGGAAACGAAAGGTTATTAAAAATCTTAAAAATACACCGAACAAGACCGAAAAGTAGGAAGATGGATAATAAGAGATCGAAAAGGGAACTAAGAACGGGTTAAAACACCTGTAAACAAGAAAAGTTAATGGGGAACGGGTGAGGAAAAAAGTAACGAGAAACACTAATGACACACGTGAACGACGCGCGGTATCGTTCGTAATATGTATATCGAGAAACGATGTTCTTGACCCAAATGCATGTAAATATCGTTTGCTCGTGTACACTCTGACTGGGTAAAACAAGAAACACAAGGAATCCGTAAATTACATGTTTCTGACGGAAGCATAAAGTTAAACGCGGTAAATAGACTCTCTATGCAACGGTAATAATGGACAAAGGTAGCGATAAAGGGAGAGTCTACGAAACATCCGACCGATTCAGGTTCAAATTTCTGCTTTGTAACGTAAAGAGTAGTTCGCTTAATATTTTGGAAAGTATTATACTAATGCAGGATTTCCCAAACTGTGTTCCGCGACAATTTGAAAAGGTTTTGTCATCAAAGTCATTATTTATTTATTCATATTTTTATGTTTATATTATATTATAGTTTTATATTTAAAAATAATTATTAAAATAATGTGTTTTAATAACATTTTTTTTTTATTTTTACTAGTATGAATTACCTAACCTAAAAAATAAGCTAAGTTTTCCGTTAAAATTTCCGGGTTTGCGAAGTGTACCATTGCAGAAAAAATTTGGGAAACCCTGTACTAATGGATGACCTGTGCACAGTTTCGCGGATTGGAAAATTTGTATTTGCCGGTTTATTTCGGTTTGTTGAACCCCGTTTCGGAATCCGCGTTGTATAACTCGTGTGAATTTTTCCATTTGGTTACAGAAAATGGCAATCTAAGGGCTCATTACACGAAAACCACGATCCGAGCCGGTGAAATTCTACGATTGATAGCGGTCTTCCAGGACACGAGGAAGTGCAGCACGGTTTCATTCGGTATTTCCGGTAGCTCGTCCGAGAAGGATCAGTACGCGCAGTGTTTAGATCCGCACGGCCGTGAAGTGTTCGCCCCGTTGTCGGCCAGGGGCGAGTTTTACGCGATCTGCCAGAACAGTGGCATCGACACGGGAAGCGACGCAGTGTTGTACAAAGTGCATCATCTTGCAAAGAGGCAGCTACCTCTCAGGGTAAATGGATTTCCTTTTTTCGATTTAGATATATTGTGAACTGCTTACAATACAATACTTTTAATTAATTAGTTACTTGCTTTTGATCGTTTATCTCAGCTCCAACGTATCTTAACCTAGAGACCCGCCATTCCATTTCGATTGGAGTTTTCCAAAAGCTTTTTACATGCGATCAGTTATTTACGTATTAGGTCCAAGTGAAAGTCACTCGTTGATGCAGCGCATTCCAAGGGACAATCATAGAGAAACTAATACCTTCGAATAAATCTATTCTTTAGACTCGAGCAGTGCAGATTTTTTAATAAAAATACAGTAATGTCTCGATGAATGTGACCCAAGTTGGGTCCGCCTCGAAGCATTCGTGGCAAGGCGGAAAGGTTTTCAGCCCCTGATACATTTTTATTTGCAAGAAGCCTAGCCTCTGCTTAGTTTCTGTTTACTTTGTTTTGGTTGGTTCTAGAGGGGGACCACCCAGTGGTGGGAATAAATCTGTTGTTCCTGTCGCATTCATCGAGGAATCATTGTACTAGGGATATCTTGCATAACGACTCACATACTGTTGCTACACCGTTGAAAACTCTTCCACAGCCCTACCGTTCTTTTTTTCAGGTTCGTTTAATAGCTGGTCCACTTCCGGTCCCCCTGCCAAGGGAATACGGTGGTTTAATGCAGTTGGAAAGTTCGACCCGGGGACCAATTGTTTTAGGATGTATCGTGCCGGAAAGACCCGTTCACAATCCTGAAATGCTCGAGCTCGTGGTGACTGGTAGCGGTGCACCGCGAGTAAAGAGAGCAAGGTTGGGTTATCCATCGGAAGCTAGGTTATTGGCATCGCCTAAAATGCAACGATTATTATCCGCCTGCAGGTAAAGTGTTTATCGTCGATAATAAGATTTGCATTTGTTTCTGGACGGGAACAAACAAGATAAAGGCTGATCGATACATCTAATATGTATACAGGGTGTTCCCCTTAAAACAGGCCACCTAAATATGTTCTGTATTTGTGATCACATGAGAAATATTTTTTACTTAATTTAAATTGTTTCAAGAGACGAATCAGATAGCGGAAAAAATTATATAAGTCAATTTAGACAATTCAGAGTCGGTTAGGACTCTATTATGCATCAAAATTAATTTCACGCGCGTCTGCATGTACACCGACGAACAAACTCGGACTTCCGATAGGGAAAAAAGTGGCGTTGGAGAAGGACCTCCTAAAATTTGGTATCAGGAATTATTGCAATTTATGCCAAATTAACATTCGATTTAACATTTATTTCAGTACTTGAAATAAATTTACTAAGTGGTAGGAAGCTCTTTTCTTCTACGCCAGTTCTTCCCCTAGCGGAAGCCGAGTTTGCTCGTGAGGGTACAGATCGGCCCAGACACAGGTTATACATGATAATATACCGTAGTATGTTCCGTATCGCCGTGATATTCGAAAGATGCAGAACATTTTACAATATATATCTACATAGATATTCTATGTGGCTCAACCTGTTCTTCCACTTCAGCCGAGCCGTCGGAGATCGCGCAACGGAACCGAGGGTGGCACCTTTGAAGCTGCACCCAACTGGCGAGAGCTTGAAGGAAATGAATTTGAAGAAAATCAAACCGAAACCGGAAACGAAGCCGATCCTCCAGAGTTTAAAGGACGGGCTCGAGCAACTGAAGAAGAGCACCGTCCGGGAAAAAAGCCAGACGAGACAGAACTGTCGAAATGGTTTCTTGGAACGGATCTCGAAGCTGGCGCAGGGCGGCCGTAGCAGAAACCCAGCGAAGAAATCGGCTTCGTTTACGTTCGCAGTGAAACCGGAAGTTGCGATTAGGTGCCAGGAACGTTACTCCAGTTTGGAGCCGGAAACCACTACCTCTCACCCGAACTCTTCCAAGCAACCTGTACAAAGATCTGTCTCCACCAGCATCTTGGAAATGCCGACGATGACGATGACGACGACGACGGCGTCGAACGTCGAGCTGCAGCCGAATTACTCCCGAGTCAGAGACAGTCTCACGCCAGTGCCATCCATTCCCAAATTGACTAGGACCAAAGCTGATGATATTTATGCGGAGATCTGCGAGAACGCGGCGGCCGCACAGATTCAAAAGTGTCCCGGTAGCCACGTGATGGCCCGGATAAAAATCGTGGTGAGAGGACGGGACTCGCCTATGATGGATCTGCCGAACAAGTTCGGCAAGGACAGACATACGAACTCGATGGTAACGAATGAGCGAATCGACTCGATTATCAGCACGGAGGACGAGGTTATATACAATACGGTGTTCTGAGTGTAGAACAATTCTTATTACTATAAGTGAACCGGCTGTGTTTGATGATCGAAAACCGTTGATTCTTTTTTTTTTTATCAACGCGCTATTCAATCTGTATTATATTATGTAACGAGTGCTACGGAGCTACGTATAATATTGTAGAAATGATAATGATTGCATGCAAGATACCTCTGGCATACCCACTAATAATTACAATGTGAGTGATTTGGTTTTTAAGAGAGAAAGAGCGAGGGCGAGAGACAGGCTGACATTGTTGTTTCTGAAACACGTGTGTTGTTCATGGAAAAATAAAAACATTTCAGGAAAAATTGCGACGGATCTTTCTACGACTCGTCCTAGGTAATACAATACGAGATTCAAAAAATTACGCGGATAATCGTATGTAGACAATAAAATAGACGTATAAAAATTTATGAAATATTTATTTTCGTTTATTTTCCTTTATTTGTACGAAAAAGTGAACCTTATGTTTTCTTCACTTTTTTCTTTCTCATGATTTTGCTTTTGACAAAAGTGTTCTTTTGATTCGGTTTTTTACTGTGTACCTTCTGTTTCTTAGGGATCTCCCCTATAACTGTCTTCATAATATCAACAGCTTTCTGACCAGTGGTATCGAACGTAAATTCAACGTTAGTATCAAGATATTTTCCAGAAAATCCTTTTGGAAATACCGGTTTTGATAGAAGAGAAGCCAATTGGTGCTTTCTTATTTTTAATTGATGTTTTAAATCTGCCGTTTCTTTTGTTTCCAGTTGTAATTCTCTGAAGAATAACATTTTTTTTTATAAGAAAAGGCAAGAATACAATAAGCGGTGATATCCGCGGACTATGTTGAAACTTACTCTTCATCCTCCTCCAAAACCAAATCCATATCCTCTACCGCTTTGCGTAACCAACCTTTCTGTGAATTATCTCTACGACATTTTAATTCCAATTTATCAATTTCTCTAGCAATGTCAACTCTCTCTTTAACTGCAATAAGTAGTCTATCTACTACCGGAAATACAGGTAAATCTTCCGCTGTAATTACAATAATTGTAACAATATTCCATTCCATATTATCAATCAATATTATCTGATTTATACACTTACTGCGATCCAGTGTTTTACACAATTTAGTATAGTACTGTTTTTCAGACGGTTCCATCATGAGAATTGTAATACCTTCCTTCTGAGCTCTTGCAGTTCTCCCACTTCTATGTACATAACTCTATAAATTAATAATCATAGGTACTATAAACTTCAATCTTCCCATACTTTATTACATGTCTCTACTCATACCTCACTAGTTCTGGGTACTTGATAATGTATTACATGTTCTACATTTGGTATATCTAAACCTCTTGCAGCTACATCTGTAGCTATTAATAATCCATCCTCATCTGCCTGAAATCTGTATTTTCTTACGTTATCTGAAAATACTATTTTTGTTAAGATGTTCTTACCTTTCAAGATTTTTTAATCGTTGCCTTTGTTGCATGCTGGCATGCAATGGTAAAGGTTTGCAGTCAAGTATGCCAAAAAGAGTGGCTAAACGTTTCACGCAGCCGATGCTATTACAGAACACCAATGTCCTACCAGTATGTCTTTTCAGAAAGTAATAAAGATAATAATCTTTATAATCTATTGTACACACTATCCTACACTCTGTCAAATTACTAGCAGTACCTACGAAAAAATCATATTCCTTTTCATTATTATACTAATTGTAGTACTCTCAATTATTTATTAATACGGATATAAACCTGATTCTTTTGTAATATCAACAATTTTGGGATTTTTTATTCCAACAAGGTCAATAATCTTTTGTAATTTTTGACCAGGTGTCAACTTATGTATCTTGCTCTTAGCATGCTTCTTTTTCTTCTTTTGTAAATACTCTGGGATATCGTGAACCATGGTTAATGTAGCAGAAAAAACAAATGTTTGTCGTTTCTCTAACATATTTTTGTTCATATTTATTTTCTCCAGTAATTGTTGTAGTTCTTGAAAATGGCCTTTTTCTAACATCCTGTCTGTTTCATCAATGGCTAAATACCTATTATAAATTGCAGTATAGATATTTCCCCATAACTTTTAATAACATTTTTAAATCAAATCTTAACTCTAACAAAACTTTTGATAGTATTTCAGTTAAAACTTACTTAATGGAATCCACTTGGTTTAGATGGGGATTACCTTGCTGTATTAATTCCCATAATCTACCAGGTGTAGCAATTACAATTTCAGGACCCTTACTTAATATTCTCTCTTGCTTAACTGCAGCCATTCCACCTAATACTACTGCTATCTGAAAAATATAAATAATATAAACACTTAATAATTAGTACTTAATCATTTTTGGAAACATTATTTCATGTTACAAAATACTTACATTAATATCAGTGTATTTTGCTGCTTTGGTAAGGTGATCTTTTATTTGAACAGCTAATTCACGCGTTGGTGTTAAAATTAATGCATATAGTGGTTTCTGTGGTTTATTAATTTCTATGTTATTAATCACCCGTACACAACCAATGTTAGTTTCATTAACATCACCATTATCAATCTCCTCATAATCAGATTCAGATGAACTGTTGTCACTTTCTACAGTTTCACTTTTTGAACAAATCCAACCTTTGTTTTTATTACTACTTATTTCTTTTGTAGATTTTACATTATGTTCATTGACCTCTTTACTTTTCATCTCCAAAATACCATTTATTATTGGAATTCCAAAAGCTAATGTTTTCCCACTACCTGTTTCAGCAGCACCTAATATATCTCTACGGCCTAATATTGCTGGTGGCAATGTCAGTGCTTGTATAAGAGTAGGAGAATGAAACTGTTGGCTTTTTAATGCTTTTATTATAACTCCAGGTACACCTAATGTAGTCCATGCTTGTACATCAATATTATCTACATGACTTTCAATATTGCTATTTTTACTACAGAGTTGATTTTCATTATCAGAATTAATATCTGAATCATTTTTTACATGCTGATTTCTAACTACTTTCTTGCTTTTCTTTTTTTTAATGCTGATGTCTTTATGGATCTTAGCATTTGGTTTTTTTAATACTGGTTCATCATTAGCTATGTCATTTTCTTGCCATTTGTTGGAACTTTTTCGTTTTAAAGATACCTTTAAAGTATAAGTGCACACGAATAAATCTTCTACACAATTAACTTTTATTATACAAGTATACAAACCAAATATTTTTGCTCCATTTTCATACTTACCTTTTGTCTGCCATTTTCATCTTCTTCGTCACAAATTAAAATTTTCGTTTCCTTATCTTCTTCCTCTAATTTATAATCAATTAATTCTTCTACACCAATTAAACCATCAACAGCACCCGAAAATACAGAACCCTCTAACGTTAGAGGTTTCCATCCATTTAAGTTACTTTGCTTATTTTTTGGCATTGTTTCTACGATACTAATGCTACACGTAATAATTAATAAAAAGTGAACGTGCGATAAATAAACAATAATGTATTTTGCAAATCCTTAACCTCGTTTGATCGACAGAATAATCACGTGTAATCAGCGGTAAGACGTTCACATATACAGTACGGCAAGTACGGATTACCTCCGTGATATACAGTATAGAGAATTGAGTAACTGTGTGTATACGTATATGTATGTACTTATATGTATTATATATATATATATATATATATACATTTGCCAAAACTAGCCGCTAGTTTCATTGACAGTATTGACACCTATAAATTAGACATAATACTTATAATAATTGCATTCCATGTAAATAGTAATTAACTTTCTTATCATAATATACAACATTAGGTAGAATTTGTGGAGAAAATTAGTTCAAGCATTCGTATAAATAGAAATATTATGAATTAAATGACATTATAAATTACAGTTGCTTTACGTATGTACCTTTAAATTTACGTGTTACTTCTGAAATGTTCTTCAACATATATGTAGATATTTGAACTATATATTTAATTAAGATTGTAGATCTTTTGTTGTTTGGTACTTTAATGTAACTTCAACAAATTGTTATTGATTTTACCGTCGACGTTTTACTGTTTATGGAGATACACCGTGTTACATCCTCGATTGCAAAGTGTAAACACACTACCACTACAGGTACGTACAATGTTTTCTAAATAAGTATTGCATTTATTAAATGCAATAACAATTAACCTCAAATCATTCATACATTTTATCAAATTGTATTTAATTTTAGGTTTTCCTTTGTAATACACATTCTGTAGAGCAACAATTTAAAACTGGCAGCAACAGCAATGAGAGAAGCTTGTGAACCTTCTGACTCTGTAATAAATTAAGTATACAACAAAATTTCACAATTCGAAAACAGATGCAAGAAAAGAAAATAATTCTTTGCTAATGCATGCATCTCCTGAAATTCCTTCAATGCAAAGTCAGTTAAATAATAATTTTAATATCAAATGCTGATCACACTACAAATTTAAAATCCTACTAAGTTATACCTACAATGAACGATGTAAACATGAGTACAATAAAGACAACTTCAAATCATAAAAGTACATCAAAAGTTCCAGTTTTAAAAATAACTATCAATAAAAGATATAATAAGCCTTATATATCAAAACCAAATGAAAATGAACTTGCATCAGATGTTAATAAGACTAGCAATGTTTTTAGACCAAAAAAACATGATCCGAATAAAAATATAGGTCCTAGTCCTCTAGATTATACACAAAATGTTGTTACATCTGCAAAACCTGTTATATTTAATTTAATACCTGTTGTATTTGAAAAATCTGGTGGATATAAAGACACCTTCGCAGAAACAAGACACACTCATGGATCTAAAGTGGCTTATACTAGGAGAGGAGACTTATCAAGAGACACGTAAGATTTATTATGAATAACTTGTAGTTTAATCACTTGAAATTAATATATTTTGAATTTTTGTAAAAAGGAAATTATTTATACTAAAATATTTCCAGACGTAATCAAAGTGTACCTGAAAGAATAAAATATTTGCATACAAAAGCACAAAGAGACTGTGACATATTAAGAATCCGTTTGAAAGCATTAAGAGAGAGGCACAAACAAGAGAAGGATGAAATAAAAAAGCTGCAAATGTATTTAAATAATCTCAATAAAAATGTAACACGAAAGTCTATTAATGAAATGTCTGATGGACATTTAAAACGGAAACAATCCTTTGTGTCCTTGGAAGATGCAGGAGAAGAAGATGAATGTGAAAAGTTACTCAGGAAAGTTAAGAAAATTAAACAAGACATATTAAATTTAAAACATTCTTATACAACTTCAAAGAAAAGAGACTTGGAACACATGAACGCATTAAATCATAATGCAAATATAATAAACCAAGAATGTAAAATATTTATGAAAAATAGTATTTTGGAAAATAAAGATACAATTAATGACCTTTACATGGGTGGTACTCCATCAGATGACAATGAAATACAGAACTCGGAAGAAAGTTATTTGGAGTCAGACACATGATATTTACGTGATATAAGTAAACATATACAAATATTCAAAGTTTTATGTATATTGTGATATAAGTATAAATCATACATTTTGAAAATGATATTACAGATGATTTTTACTAATTTATTAATTACTTTGTGTAAATATTGGAAAACGAGGAATATTTAGCATAAAGTTATATAAAGTATAAGTTTTCATATTATATAATTAAACATATTGCTTTTACTAATGATAATTCAATCATTTTTTAAGTTTGTAATATAGGAAAAGTAAATAATTGAAAAAGGAAATATTTCGGCTCTACCATTAATTTAGTGTTAAAGTGTTTCATAAAAGAAGGTATAATTAAATTAAAAAATTATTCTTTTTATTTACAGTATTTTCTTATACAATGACATTTGGAATCAATACAAAATTACAATTATCTATTCTGGTTTACATCATCAGTTGAGCTATTTATAGTGACCTTAACATCTTTGGTTGTCACTGTGTTTTTTTCTTGTTTATCATCGGATATAACAGCTTGTTCTACAGATTTTTGTGATTCAGACACTCTCATTCTTTCCAATTGTACAGGAGTTATATCTAGTCCTGTATTTTCAGATGCTGAAGATGTTTCATTGGAAGCTTTTTGCAATATCGATTGTACATTAGAGGTAGATAATGAAGAAGTAACAGTATCTTTTCCATTTTTTGGAACAGGTAATAGTGGAGCCAGAGGTTCTAATATGCTATCTCTATTCAAGTATGTAATTCCCTATAAAAAATACAGTTAACATTTGTATATATATTTACATATTGTAAATAATATCTATAATTTAGTAGAAAAAGTACACTGTTTTAGTATAAAACTTTTTAAAAGCACTTTTATTAATTGTCTTTACATACCTCTGTCTGCAGTAAATTTTCTGAAATGCCTAAATGAATTGCAATTTGACATGGTGGGAAAATAACGTGAATGCAATACTGTACATAAGGAATCAGTTGTTCGCTTAAACATTCGGTAAATTTTAGCATGTTTTCTCTTTCTGCAGCTGCAAAAGCCTGAAACACGAGTTTATTAAATCAAACTTATAACTCATTGGATAAAGGAGTGACTTTTGATATTACTGTTAAAAAGTGAATAACTTACTTGCTGTTCTTGTTTATAAAAAATCAATATAGCTTTTGCAACTAGATATAAAGACTCTTGCAGAGTATTTGTACAGAAAATAGAAAGGGCTACTGGTGGGCAAAGTCGTATTTCGTTGAAAGTAGATATAAGACCATTACAATATTCAGCTAAAGGATAAAATTCTACCAATTGTTCTGGTGGATTCTCCTGTACAAAATAATATTTTAGCATTTAAGGCCTCAAAAATAGGTGTAAATACACTGTATAGAAATGCAGAAATCACATTTTTTGTAGAATAAAATGAATTAAACAGTCAATTACTTACCGATTTAATTGTAACGTTTACTTTTGTATTAGCTCTCTGCATTTTATTAATTAATGTAAATGATTCCATATCTTTTTCAAATTTTTTCGTTGTTTTCCGGACACTGGATTCGAATTTGTCACCAATAACGTGTACAAATATATCGGACAATCGTCCAGTAAAATCCACACCCACTCTGCCAAATGATAAACCAAAATATGTACACTGCCCCAAGATAGAGTCAATAGATGTTACACCGGGTAAATCTTGTTCTAATGTGGTTAGAAACTGGGATATCTGAAAAAATACGATAATAGAAGTACATTGCAATGCAAAACCTGAATATTTGACATACCTTTTCTTCAAGCCAATGATGAAATATAGCACACTCATTCACAGTTGGATCTCGACCTGGCATTATGAGCTCATCATCATTAAACATAGCTCTATATTGTGTTATTATATTGAACAAATGTATCCTTGATAGCTCTATTGTTTTAGTTATGTGAAGATTGGCTAGCAAGAAACACTCAATATTACTAAAATGTTTGTACAGAAATAAATAAGTTGACATTTACTTACCATCATCCTTGGGTATAGTATTCAGAAGACTCTGAAGCCAACTGTCACGAGCTTGAAGAAATTTAATACGTAATTCTGGCTCTGTAAAAGCATCCATTGAGCGTAACAGTCCAACAAGCTGTAAACATCTTGGGAGTGGTAAATCTCCTCTTAATGATCCAACAACTTGACCTACCATGCCTGACCAACTGCTTTCAATTTCTGCTACTATGGACTACATTATTAATGAACAAAATGAATTATGTGATATGATATATGCACTTTTAATTTTAAATATTACCGAAATTATTGGAATATCTCCATGTTTAACTCCTAATTGACGTGCATATTGAGATAATTCTAATGCCTCATTGTATTGATTACTCCTTAAACATGATTCCATTAGTTGAGGCATTTCAAGAACTTCGAGTAACTCTGCATTTCTTGTTAATGTTAAACTATTTACTCTCCTATGTGCATTTATGTCTTTTGAAACATCACAAAATGATTGGCACTTCTCTACGAACTTGGGAATCTTTTGGACAAGTCCATTAAGTCTACTTTCAGTTTGATTAAACTTGAAATTACATAGAAATTTATATCAATAAATCTGTTATTAGTATTATTAAAACTACCAAATGATATTATTTTATTACTTGTTTGAAGATTTCTCTGGAACTTTCAGCAGTTTGTACAAATGTCTTATAATTTCCAAACACTAGCTCTTGAGTAGTCTGTAATACTGAAGTTTTTTCATCATCTAGGTGATCGGGTTCTTTACCTAAAATGTTAAAATATTTCTTGATAAAATACAATCTAAGGAAAATAAATCTCTTCGAGAGTTAAAATGTCTTACAGAGTTGATCAACATCATAGCCACCAAGTTTTGACAAGTACTGATAAAACTCAGGATTTTCTTTCCATGACTCTATAAAAATACATTATACATATATTTAGAATTAAAAAGGAAAAGAAACATATAAATATATATATATATATATATATATATTTTCCAAAAAGCAATTTGTATTAGAATGTTAAAAATAATATTAGTATTGTACAAACATAAGTCACCTTGTATACCATCCGGAAATATAAGATTTATAACATTTTCAGTTTCGATATCCATTTTTTATTTAAGAGATACGTTCATATTTTCCTTAAGAATGTTTAAATTGTCTTCGTGTATTCCATATTAAGCATGCAAGTACACGTTTACAATGTCTACAATACATCTAAATATATACAATACACTTTTTCGCTCTTGACAGAATGTCTCTTGGTTTACTTTAGTAAAGGAAGGTAACTATTGGTTGTTTTAGCACACGCTCAATGTTACGAAATCGAAGGGGAAAGAGCCAATGATTTTATTAGTCGAATGGTTTGTTTAATAGAAACCAATGCAACTGTGTATATAAAAGCACCGACTAAGTAGTCTGTGATACTACCAGTCCCTTCTTAGATTTAACGTAGTTCATAAATTCACCGTTCTCATAACGTAGAGGGCAGCAGAAAATCCCTGACACTTTTTACACTATCGGTATTTCAGAACATGAGACACGAAATCCCATAAGATGATAGGTCTATCCTATACCTAGTCGGTGGTTACACGACAACAGTAATAAAAACCATGTTTCAAGCGCATATTGACTCAATCATTTCACTATCGTCCACTCTCTCGTCACCTACAGGTAACAATAACAGATTGAATGTGGCCAAGGGATACTGCAATTTATTACGCACATTTATCGTACACAGCCGAAGCTTTGAAGATCGTACGGAACATCTACCAGTTTCAGAAGTGGAACTTATCTGCGACGGATAAATTACACTACGTCTGACTAATATTTAAGCCGTGTTTTACTGAGTTTATGCATATATTATAATAAATATATTGTAAAATCGAGTACGTAAGTAGTATTTAAGACAATTATTGTTAACTTTATACAAATACAGCTGTAAATTGTATCATATTCTAACAATTTTTTCAATAATAAACAGTTAAATGTTACATAAGCGTTGTTTATTAAGCCTATCACTTCCTCTAACACAAAATTTGTCGTTAATAAAGCAATAATAATTGCTAAATACAGTAAAAATCGCGTTAAAAATAAGATTGATGTTAAACTTGGCACGAAATTTGAATTGAAAAAATCGCGGGAAAAGTGAAAATTTGTTAGAATTCATGTCGCCACCAAAAGTAGTGGTAGCGAAATTTGGAACTAATTCTAAAACTTTTAAGCAGCGCCATCTGGTGGTGTCTGCGAACTAATGAAGAAGTTCTGGAATTAGTTCCAACTTTCGCCACCCACTTTTTTCGTGGCGCCACTAGTATGTCCCATAAATCCCAATTTTCCCGCGCTTTTTGCAAAAGTCAAGATGGCGGAAAAACTTGTACATTTGTGGCGCCCCCATCAGTTGGTGGCGAAAATTGGAACTAATTTCAGAACTCTTCCAAAACTTAAAAAAACCTTAGGAATAGGAATGGAGAAGGATGGAGCAATTTTTGAGATATAAATCGTTAAGATACGTTAACATTCAGCGCCAACTATTTTCCGGTGGCACCAGAGACCCCGTGTGCTGTGATCGTATGGTCATAGAACCCCCGGTGGAGGCGCTAGTGTCCCCGTGCGACGAGAACGTGGGGTCATGGAACCCCCCGCAGCATGTACAAGAGTTTTGAAACGTGACCCTTTATCGCAGTTGCTCGTACGAGTCTCCAGCTCGGTCTAATGTTGCTCGTGCAACTGTCGAAATCTGACTGACACTTGTGCGTGCTTCTATGAGCAAATTATATAGTAACCCCAGCAATCATGGCAGTTTCTGCAGATACTACTACAGCCCAGGTTTAAAATACGTAGGCAGTAGTTAGTTTCTGTAGAAACCTGTTGAACCAGACAACTATAATTAGTATACGATTGTACACTGTTTATGCAGTTATATTTAAGACAATTCGATGAAATGAAGCTTATATTAACTGACGCATGTTTATAGGAATATACAT